GTCAGTAGGAGGAATAGTGTCCCATCATTGGTATCAGTGGGAGGAATAGTGCCCCATCATTGGTGTCAGTGGAAGGAATAGTGCCCCATCATTGGTGTCAGTGGGAGGAATCATGCCCCATCATTGGAATACCATACTGAAATAGCATACCATATTGAAATCAAATTTGATGTTTTTTCATTTTTATTTGGTGTGTGTTGGAAGAGGGGTAGTCTTATACGGCGAGTATAGTTCAAACCCTATATTTTAAACAGGAAAAGTAGGGGGTCGTCTTATATGTCCAGTCGTCTTATACGCCGGCAAATACGGTATGTTTATTTTTATATTTCACAGGAGTGAAAGAAGGTGGATCAAGGGTGAATGTGTGTTACCACATTCTAGGTAATCATCAAAACTGACAGAAAAGCACTGAAATTATATATACATACACACACAATCATATATTTGGCATAAGCTGTGCTTGGGTCGTTTTAAACCCTTAGCCAGGTCTTGGGCACTTTGAGTAGCACAGTAAGATGCTTAGCTAAGTCAGATACTTTGTGTTTTTCACATTAAATTTCCACACCTTCCTATTCCAAAAACTGAAGCAGTACAATAGGAGATTTAAAAGCTCCTTAGAGAACTGAGATTTATGTAGGCATGTTTGATACAGCAAATTTGAGCAGGTGCAAATGATTAAAAGGACATAAGGCTCAATTCACAAATCTTAAAAAAACACAAGAATAAGAAACCTTCTATTCAAAAAAGCAAGTTATTTTCAGTGGAGTCCAATGAGATTTGCAAAATTACAATCACATAGCTGCAATTAAAGATCTGTATCCTAATTGATTTTTATTACATTATTAGATCATTTTTCTTTGCAAAGAATACTTACCTTGTGTAAGAGGAGTATTTGTGAATTACTGGCAGAGGAAAAAGGTGCCTAGTAACCTAGAAGTTGGACTTTTTTTTGCATTCACTTGAAGTGGGACAGTGAGGATGTGATGTAATCACTGCTTAAGTGTAGTATTTAATGTTTGACCTCATGTGGATGTTCACTCATACCGCTACTGGTAAACACTGGTGTTTTGATAGGGTGCTGTGTGGCGTTTTGGTTACACACCCAATTTCATATTAAATCACCTAAAAACCTATCTACAGATAAAAAGGGAGAGAGTTGTTAAAAACGATGGTATGACCACCACAGTGCCCTGACCACAACTCCATCAAGCCAGACTGATTTGCTAGCAGAAACACAAGTAGGACCGCCTACAGAGAATTACCTACCACATGATCTTCAGTAATTCCATGCAAGGGTCCCTAGGAGAATTGCTGCTTAGGGTGGTCAAACCAAAAATTGATTTAAATTTTTCTTTACGGTACATTTCAGGAATCTTCTTTATGAATAAAAAAAATCCATACAATTTTTAAAGCATTCAAGCTTTTACAGTATTTTTTCACAACTAAAAACACATTTGTTCATTACTCCTCCAATTTAAAATGTGATTTTCGTGGCGTTCCTTGAATGTGAATCTCACAGCAACTTGTCAGGCTTGACAAAAAATTGTAACATCCAAAGACTGGAAGCAAAATCATAACATTACTTGTCAAGACATTAAAGTATGGTAGAAAGAACAAGAGACCCTTTTCTTGACTGTCAACATATATCTGTCCCCAGAGCTGACATGTCTTGTAAAGATAAACAATCTTAACCTTGAGCCACTATACAAAAATTGAGATCAATACAACACACAATTTAAGCAATAATTAAGCCTACTTCTTTACTGTCATTTTAATTAAAGATGATCAACTACATAGATTTATTTTAAAATCTTCAGAAAAATACAGGTTATTGTATAGCAAGGTCCTTGGCTAACTGGAAGCTAATTGAAAGTCTACAGGATAATGAAAAATATAAAATTTGCCTTTATAAAAAGTCAGCCAACATCAAGCTGAAGATATCCCATGGTACCATATTTATACAAAAAAAGGAAGTAGGCTTTGCAGAAGCTTCATCATGTAATGAATATAACAAATATGATCAAAGGAGATGAAAAAAAGAAAAATAGTGCTTGCTGAGAATAGTAAATGCATTGAACTTTTAAGGGTTAAAGGCTCGACCGTTATCGGCAGCAGTAAATCATGCATAAGGACACCCAGAAATACCACAAGCAGGTTTGTTCTGTTTCAAGACAGTCAACAAAACACAGCTTCAATGCAGGAGGAATATTTGCAGCATAAAAAATTCTGCCCATCTGAGCCACTAACTAAAATTGCGTAATTTCCTGAACAGAGTGCCCCCTTAAGTAGTTCCACAAGACAGGCAGCACTTATATTTGTTCATTGTTTTGTTCGCAGTCAGGCTTTTCACCCAGCAGCAGACAAGGCAAGAGCCATGAGCAGTCAGCTGGCATAAAAATGCCTGTTGGCGGATTACAAAATAAGTCTGTTTTCTCCAAATCAACCATAAACCATAAAGACCCTAATTGTGCACATGTGAGAAACCTTGGTGATACATACAAAAACTGTCCACAATCCTGCCAGCCAGTGTCTTTCATCCCCTCCTCCACTAGTCAAACCTGCAGAAAAGGACATTTGGCCAACATACAGTGGATGAATGAGACCATCTTGTACAAACCATTTTCTGACCCTTGCATGGTTTTTGTTCTGAGCTAACCACTTTACTGGATAATGGCCTGACACCAATCATCTGCCAAAAAAAAAAAAAAAAAAAAAAAAAAAAAAAAAAAAAAAAAAAGAGATAAAACCTGTAATGTCCACTTTATGGCCAGACCCTCCCTTTTCCACTACTGAAGAGTTCCAGTCTACAGGGGTTAGTTTTCAGCTGTGGTATGCTACTGGATGCTCTTCACCAGCAATTCTTGACTGATGTTGGAAGAGGTTAACCTTGGTTCATGACACAAAGCTGCCTTCAGCGCAATAGTACTCTGTCTCCTCATTCCATTTCATCATGGTGGACTTGTTCTCTTTGGTGATATCAGTAAATGGAGCTGCTATGGTAGTAAAGCAAGCACAAGACTCAGGTATCATCCTACAATCCCTTGGAAGCTCGAACATGTTTTTTCTCAGCATGGACTAGGACCAGCATTTAACCTAATCTTCTCAATTGGAGCCCATTTACATGGCTTCATGCCTTTTGATTTTTTTTTTTCTTTTAATTATATCTTATTAAATTTTTCCATTACAAAAATCAACATTGTGTAACAACTCAAAAATACACACATTCCACTAGTTAGATGATATAATACACTATTTTTATATTGTCTCACTGAAGTCTCAGAAATATGAAATATACAGACCCATGGGTCCTTCTGTATGGTAGGACCCAGTATCTCTTGTATATATTGGATTATGTCATGCCAAACCTTCTGTATCTTAGGACATTCCCACCATATATGTGCCATTGTTCCCACACCCTCTTAAACATAAAAGGGGAAACATCTAATTGTTGGTTTATGTGTCACACACTGTGAAATATACCATCTAGCCAAACATTTATAGTTCATTTCAACTGTATTCATATTCATGTGTGAATTAAAAAAAATCTTATTTTTTGTTGCTTAGTTTTGTTTCCAGCTCCTTTTCCCATTTCTCCAAGAACAAAGGAGTATCAGATCCCTCCAATTCAATAAGATCTTCTAAATCCTGGAGGTAACATTTTTGAACTAGATTTGAGCTCAACATTTTTTCAGATGGATACATGTCCTCCAGCGCCCTCAGTGGTTGTGGGAGCGCTGCAACAAATTGTCCTAGTTAACAGCACTACCATTCATCTAATGGTAAAAATAAATATTTTTTTCCTCTTTAAAATCTTGAAAGTGTACAATTTCCCCTTATCTACTATATCCTTTAAACATGCATTTCTATCTTTAATACACTTCCTCGAAACATTATCTTTCCTTGGTGAAAAATATGCCGTTCCCACCAGAGGAATTACTATTGCTGTATATTTCCATCCCATTTGCTTGTGCATTGCATCCCAAGCTCTTAGTACCTTCCATGTCAGGGTGCTAGTGTTCCCATCCAATATACAAAACATGTGGTATCCAAATCTTCTCCAATTGTGCCTTACTTAAAAATACCTTCCATATTTACCCAAACATTTCCCTTGTGAATGTGTCTAATCTACAATTTGTGATCGTATCACCAAGTAATAGTATTTCCTAAAATTAGGCAGAGAAAATTTAACCCCCCTTTCCCTTTATTATTACACAAAACCTCATTTAATTCTTGGTTTCTTATTTGCCCATATAAACCCAAGTATCTTTTCTTTTTTTATTATCCCAAAGAGGGACCCTGGAATATGCACTGGGAACATGTGAAACTTACACAAGATTTTTGTACCATCAAAATCTTTACCACATTTATACGACCTATTCAGGAGGCCCATCCCCTTGAAAGTCTCCCCAACTCATCCTTTATTTCGCTTATTAGTTGGATATAGTTTGCCTGGTATACGTTTTGTTGAGGAAGTTAACTTTATTCCTAAATAACTTAATTCCCTTCCCTCCATGTGAATAAGAAATCTTTTTGTAAAGTCGGCTTCTCAATCTTTGAGACATTAATATTCAAAATCTGACTTTGAGGGGTTTATTTTCAGATTTGATAACGCTCCATGTTTTAATAGTCTCATTAAATTAGGCAACAATAATCTGGGGTTCACCACATAACACATGTGGTCTGCGTACACTGCTACCTTATGTTCCATGCCACCTAGCCACTAGCCTACAGGGCACTTATATCCCCTTCCTGCCCAGGCCAATTCCCAGCTTTCAGCACTGTTGCACTTTGAATGGCAATTGCGTGGTCATGCAACACTGTACCCATATGAAATTTTTATAATTTTTTTGTGACAGCTTTATTTTGGTGGTATTTAATCACCTCTGGGTTTATTTTTTTCTTAAACCAAAAACCACTGAAAATTTTGAAAAGAAAAAAAAAAAAAAAAAAAAAAAAGTTTTAGTTGTTATAAAATTTTGTAAATAAGCGATTTTTCTCCTTCACTGATGTGTGCTAATGAGGCTGCAGTGATGGGCACTGATAGGCTGCACTGATGGACACTGATAGGTGGCACTGATGAGGAGGCACTGATAGGTGCCACTGATGGGCATTGACAGGCATCACTGATGGGCACGGCACTGAAAGGCAGCACTCATATGGCACAGATGGGCACTGAAATGTGGCACTGATGAGCACTGAGAGCTGGCACTGCTGGGGCTACACAGATCATCAGGGCACACTGATCATCAGTGCTCTGATGATCTGTGTACATGTCCCCTCCGAGGAATGTCGATTACTGGCTCTTCTCTCCTCACGAGCTGTCAGTGTGACAGCTCATGGGGAAGAACTGTCGATACCCGGCATTTCCCTGTTTACATGTGATCAGCTGTGATTGGATACAGCTGATCACATGATCGAGCCGACATCTTCAGCTCCTTCCGTGGATCGGTGATCCGCTGCGTCCGAGGGACACAGCGCACCGCCGATCGCCGTGCTGCACGCTCAGTGAACAACGCATGCGCAGTGAGAATAGGAGGACGTCATATGACATCCTCCCAGAACGAGAGAACCACCTTGTGTCCGTCATATTACTATATGGCGGACGGGAGGTGGTTAATTCTGGTTACATCTACACTTATCATAGCTAGTAAGGGTTCCAGGGATATTTCAAACAACAAAAGGGTAGAGTGGGCATCCCTGTCTTGTAACATTCTACATCTTAAACTGTGAAAGGGACCCATTAACCTTTACAGTTGCCGACGGGCCATTATAAAGCACTTTAGCATTTTGGGCCCTAATCCTAAAGCCTCTAGCATGTCCATCATAAATCCCCAGTCTAACCTATCAAAAGCTTTTTCAGCATCGACAGGATAATTGTTGGCAACTTTTCACTTTGCTTTTTGTAGAAGCAGCAGTGATCTCAGACCATTGTCCCTCCTTTTTCTGCCAGGAATGAATCCCACTTGATCCAAGTGTATCAGTTCTTTCATCCTAGTTGCAAGTACTTTTGCATATAGTTTTAGGTCTATATTGAATAGTGATATCAGTCTGTAACTAGCTCACTGAGAGCCATCTTTTCCTTACGTATAATTGTTATATATGCTTGCAATGATTCTTCTCTCATTCCCAACCACTCCAACGCGTTTATATATGTGCATAATCTAGGAACCAAGATCTTTAACCACTTGCCACTTGGCAGTGGAGCGCAAAAGCACATTTTAAAACGGGCTCCGCGCTCCCGACACTTTCGCGGGTAGAGGGGCGCGCGCGCGCACGCTCTCGCCGACCCGCGGGTGACACGATTCGATCCAGGAGGGATCAATCATTAGATTTCAGCCAGTGATTTCTGCCTGAAATCAGATGATCGGTCCCTGTCCTATGTTGACATTTACACAGGGCAGGATATGATGCAATTCTTCTCTGCCTGGACACATTCCGTTCCAGACAGAGAAGAAGACACAGTAAAAGTGAGTACAAAGCACTACACTAACAGTTAGAACACACCTAAGACACATTTAACCCCCTGATCGCCCCCCCAGTTAACCCCTTCACTGCCCTGTCACCAGTGTCACTGATCAGTGAACCAATTTTTACTGATCACTGTATCAATGTCACTGGCGACTTCCGATAGTGTTAGTGCCCCTCCCAGATAGCACCAGATTGCCCGCTAATACACCAATAATCCCGTCTAACCCCTTGATCATCCCCCCCCCCCCCCCCCCCCCCCCCCCCGAGTTGACCCCTTCACTGCCCTGTCACCAGTGTCATTGATCAGTGTACAGATTTTTACTGATCACTGTATTCGTGTCACTGGTGACTTCCGATAGTGTTAGCGCCCCTCCTAGATAGCGCCAGCGCCCCTCCTAGATAGCGCCAGTTTGCCCGCTAATGCACGGGATTTTTTTTACCAAAAACATGTAGCAGAATACATTTTGGCTTAAATTTATGACTAACTTTGAGTTTGATATATTTTTTATAGCTGAAAGTAGAAAAAAAATTTTTCAAATTTTTCGTGGTTTTTTGTTTATAGCGCAAAAAATAAAAAGCGCAGAGGTGATCAAATACCACCAAAAGAAAGCTCTATTTGTGTGAAAAAAAGGACGTAAATTTCATTTGGGTACAGCATTGCATGACTGCGCAATTATTTGAATTAGTGCAGCGCCAAACAGCAAAAAAAGGCCTGGTCATTAAGGTGGGTAAATCCTCAGGTGCTCAAGTGGTTAAATTTCTTATAATAGCCCACAGTATATCCATCAGGGCCTGGATGCTTTCCTGCTGCCATACTCTTCAGTGCCAGAGTAGTTTCCTCCTGGGAGATGGCTCTCTAGGGCCTCTAACATTTCTTCTGGTATTCTTGGCAAGCCAACCTAATTTAAGAAGTGCTGCCTTTTTCTTTTGATTGTCTGTTAATCCTGCTTTATGGGACTATCTTACAGGAATACCATTCAAAACTAAAAATGACATCCAGATATGCAGAAACATATGCTTTGTGAGTATTAAGAATATGGTCCCCATCAGTGAGTCCAGGGCACCATGTAAGCCAAAGGGTAGCACTACCTACTGAAACAGTCCATCTGGAGCCTAAAAATCTACCTTCTCCTTTGCCATGGTTAAGAGAACCTGCCAACACCCTTTAGTAAAATCAAGGGTGGTAATGTACTTGGCAAGACCCATGCTTTCTATTTACTCACCCACCCAGGGCATGAGATGAGCATCAAAATTTGGAAGTTTCATTTAGTTTTGTGAAGTCATTTTGGAACCTTAGGCTGCCATCCTGCTTAGGAATGTAAACTATAGGATTTGACCACTCGCTGTTAGAGAAAGGACTATTTAGAAGAGGGTGCAGAAAAGGTTATCCTTGGGGGTCAAAGATGGATCTGACTTTCAGATACCCCTAAAGATCTCAACTTTGCCAGAAGGCTCAGTCAATGTCATGGTAAATTATGTTAGCTTGGCCAGGCAAATCTGAAAACATCCCTCAATTTTTTTGAAAGAGCACTCACCTCCTGAGTAGAAGACAGGGTCTCCTGACATCTTAACCTTTGGTATATCTTTTACGGATGATACTTTAGGGTCGCTTTCTGATATAATAGGCCCCCAATCCTTACAGTGCTTTACTATGGGTATGACTACCATTATCCTATCCAGTATTTGAACATAGTGTTCCATTACACTTTTGTGAGGTGTGGACTCTTGTTTCGAAGGCTTGTTTCATTGGGGATGGTGCAGTTGCCAAATTGGAATCCAACAACTGCCTCTTCAATTTCATCCATCTCCCTCACCATGATGAAAAATGTGAAGTTGTCGTCAGGTACCTCTGATGTAGGGTCACCATCTCCCTCAAGTTCAGGCAAAAACAGTGACATCATTCATAAGACATTTTCAAACCTGGTTACCTGCTTTTCCCACCACAAATCCCAAAGAAAAATTACAGCTCAGTATCACATGTGGTAAGTTCTGAAGCACACCTGAAGTGCTCAAAGAGTACAAGGTAGTTTTCAACATCATTCTCCAGGGACAATTTCGGGAAAGTGCTCTGCACATTGACAGCTGATGCAGACACCGGCCCCTGTAACACTATCTGCCTCTCCAACAGGGAACTCCTCTGCTGCTGAAGATACCAGTTCATTTTCTGTTGTGCCTTTGAGGACTCAAAAGCAGGAGGGCTTTGTACAGAAAGTTCATAGCGTTAATATCTGAAAGACTAATATACAATTATTCCAGCCACTGAAATAAATACACACCAAATGCTAAACGTGCCTAACATTTAGCCACGTTTACATGCATCGGCCTGGCTAAATGCTCCTCTCTTGAACAGGATTTTGGTGCGTTTAGATTTCTGCCTCTAAAATGCCCTTCCTCTAAAAGCCAACATGGGCATGGACACATAGGCCAACATACAGAGGCGTTTAGGAACCGAAAAAATATATCAAGCTTTTGACATCTGCAGTGTGCATGTGGCCTTATTGTAAGAATACCCACTCATTAAAGTATTACTAAACCCACAACCATAAAAATCAGCCTGTATATGCAGTAAAGCATGCTTATTCTAATCACTGTGGAACCTAAGGGGTTAATCCTCTGCATTGTGTAAAAAGGCAGTTTGATCCTGTCTTCTCTCCTCCTCTTGTTCAAATGTCCACATCTCATCTCCTGATAAGACAGACTGAACCCGTAGCCAATCTGCACATGCTCAGTGTGGTGTGTATTGCTAGAGAGGGTTTTTTTTTTTTGGGAGAGTACATGTGATCAGCACAGGGTCAATCAGCACTGTCCAGACAGAGGTCAGGGGTTTTGCATTCTCCTAGAGCAGGAAACAAAACTTTCTACAAGCTTTGACCACTGCTCTGCTGAACACCGATAGAAGTCACAAGACGTCTCTAACTGCTGATGAGAAAAGGTATTTAACAGTTTATATTTACTAAAATAATTGCACTTTCATGTTGTGTACTGCGGGAGACCAGACAGTGAATGTAGAGTCCTGGGTATAGTAACTTTAACCCCTTTGCGCCGGCCGCACATTTGTGTTCAGGTAAGAAAAAAAACATATGTGCTGAGAGTGCGCACCCTGCGTGCTCCCAGCACACATGTCCGGTACTCACGGAAAGGTCCCGGTCGGCTTTTTCGATCGGGACCTTTCCCGAAACGTTTAAGGGGCCGGAAGGCGCTGGCGGGAAGGAGTTAAAAATCAACACACATTAACAAGTTAGTTAATGTCATTTCACAAGTTATTTTCAAGGTTTAAAATTGCAGCTTTCAACACCACCTGGTAATTCTGATATGAAGGTCCTTATTCAGTTTCCTGTATTATGGGGTGACAAAGCTCTGTCCATGTCTCCCAACTGTCCTCCCATGTTGTAAGAGTTGGAGTCTACAAGTGACCGTTTCAACACATTTTAGACGGGTATGTCATTATCATCACCTTCCAGAAATGTGCCCTGATAAAAGCTATGTAGTCATTGCTGGAGTGCATGCACGTGACAGGAAAGTGCTGTAAAGAGGCTGCAAGAGATCAGCAGAACTAAAATGTTACAAGGGATAAAAAAACATAAAATTAAACACAAATGTGAAAACCAGTATTTTATTTTTAGCAAATGGCAATGGTTTCTGATCCACAATGCTTTAGCAAAATAAAAATATTCAGTTAGGTTTTACATCTACTTTAAGAATAACTTCATGGTCCTTCATATCTAAAAATGGTAGAATGTTGAAAAATATTTCACAATGAGTGAGTCATCTGTTCCAAGCTGTATTAAATTGTATGTGAACCACTAGGATTAGAATATTAGGGCTCCATGGATGGCAGTTTAAGACAGTCGTATAACTGAGATGGGTGAGATGTATTTCTTCGCACAGTTCTTGTGGTGAATGCAGCCAAGGTATAGACAGATAATGCATGCT